TACTACATCATGGTCAAGAACACTTGGTGGATACTCTCCTCGATCCCAGCAATGTGAATCAGTGGCCACATCTGTGTCCTGACCTCTGGTCACCAGCTGATTGTACAGTCTCTCACTGCTCCCCTGGCATCTGATACTGGTTCCCTTTGCCTTTGGGTCTGGACACACCCCAACTTGGGAGTGCTTCATATATGCTGGCCTCACCACCTGTCCCCAGTTTTATCTTTGTTATCCCAGTCCTGGTTTCCTAATTCCTCTATCCTAAATCCCCTTCTGCCCACAATCTCCATGTGTTAAAAGCTAACAATAAAAGTCAACGTGTACTGGGTACCTACTATGTGCTGGGAATTGTCTTAAAGACTTTCCACAACCATAAACATTTCCATGTTTTATACAACAGACTTGCGAGGTAAGATTTCATTTCCAACTTTTCAGATTAGGACAGAGGGCTCAGAGAAATTTATTTACTGTATATCAGAGAGCCTGTCAGGGATGGAGACAGGAATTCCAACCAAGGTTTGCATAACTCCACGTCCCTGTCATTCACCTTACTGTCCTGTAATGTGTTTGAGGAGCACAGTGTGGTGAGTGATCCCAGAGATTAGCAATGGTTTTAGGGAATAGACAAATCTCAATAGGGAATCCTAAGGATCTACCAATTTAGATTTGGGTCAGAGAGATGCATTCAGTTTAGCATTCCAACTGGGAGAATGGCATGAGCCAGGCCCAAGGATTGAAAAGTTGCAGGGAATACAGGAGAATGGAAAGGAAAACGTAAGTAAACAGAAAATGAGACAGAAAAACACTTATTTACTTATGCTGTGGGGGAAGGAGAGTTATTCATCAGACTTTGGGTCTTAGGATAGTTAAGCACTGAGTCCCTGTTAAGATGGCTGTCTGCCATGCTGACAAGGCAGGATTGCCTACCAATCCTTCACAAGCCACTGCAAGGAGAGTCTCTGTCTTGGGCTCAGCACACTCACGGGACACTGAGGGCTAATGCTACCTGCCTGCCACAGCTTTTGAATGACAGTCTCTTGTCAGGACTGGTTCATGACTCAAGGAACTCAGACCATCCACCTCTGCTTGGGCCTGCCATTAGCGACGACTTCTGGAGGGCTGTGCTTCACCTAGTTCTTATCCTGGCCTAGACTAGATATCCCCACTCTGATCTTGCCTTTCCTCTTCAGACTTTGAGGTACTTCTTTCTATTCCTTCTCATTAGCTGGTTGTGGTCTCTTGTCTATGCAACATGCCCAAGCCAAACTATCCTTTAACCTGTTTCCTGCATTTCTCAGGTTAATGTCTACTGCTTTCCAGAGTTGAAGGATCATCTAGGTCTGAAAACGAACTGCTGGAAAAACAAAACTATTTCCTACCATAAGCAAGTAGAGTCTAGAAATAGGAATTTTTTTGTTACGCTATTTGCCACTCAACTATTTGATATTTAATTATGGAAGAAAAGGAAAGGAGATAAGTTTTTATGGAAAGGTAGAGAGGCAGTGGGTAGGGATTAGGAGGTTGATGGTCAAAGAAGAGATCTCTAAAAAGCCCTCTGAGTCCTGTAGGGCAGGGACTAGAATGAAGCAAGGGGCAGTAGGGTGCAAAATTTGAAGCACAGACTGTTAAGGTTGTGCAGGATAGGTCCTGGTGCCCTGGCATAGACTGCATGATCAATTACTTCATTCCAAAAACCATTCCTTGACCTTCTTGGCACAGAGTAGTTCCCTTCCCTTTTCCAGGATCTCTAAGTATCTAAGTCCTGTGTTTTTAGTACATCTAACATTTAGTTCTAATCCAGTCTCAATTTTTTTAAGTTTATTTCTTTTTGAGAGAAAGAGTGGGAGAAAGGCAGAGTGAGAGAGAAAGAGAAAATCCCAAGCAGGCTCTGCACTGTCAGTGTGGAGCCTGCTGTGGGATTCGAACTCAAGAATAGTGAGATCATGGGGCACATGGGCGGCTCAGTCGGTTAGGCATCTGACTTTGGTCAGGTCATGATCTCACGATGCGTGAGTTCGAGCCCGTCAGGCTCTGTGCGGACAGCTGCAAGCCTGGAGCCTGCTTCGGATTCTGTGTCTCCCTGTCTCTCTCAAAATTACACATTAAGAATTTTACAAATAAAAAAGTGAGCATCGTAATACAATTTTCAAATGATTATGGTTACTGTATTTTCACTCAACCACTGGTATAACCCCAGTGAGTTGTCAATGATTCTATTAAGTGGAGCACACTATGCTCGAAGGTCAATTTTTTTAAAAAATGTTTATTTTTAAGAGAAAGCGCAAGCATGAGTGGAGGAGGGGCAGAGAGAAAAGGGGGACAAAGGATCCGAAGTGGGCTCTGCGCAGAGCCTGATGCAAGGCTCAAACTCATGAACGGTGAAATCGTGACCAGAGCTGAAGTCGGACATTCAACCAGTTTAGCCATCCAGGTGCCCTAAAGGTCAATTTTTTTTTATCAGAGGCTTCCTTTAATCACCCTATGTAAATTAACACCTCACTCTTACTCTCAACCCCCACAACCTGATGATCTATTCTTTCTTTAGAGCACTTCTCCATCAGGCATCACTAGAAAGGTAAGTTTTATGACAACTTTTAGACAACTTTGTCTATTTTCTTCACTATAACATTGCTAGCTCAGAACTCTTGATACTTAAGCATTCAAATATTTGTGGTGAGTTGGTTAGATGGATGGATAAATATCTCCAAAAGCTAAACACTGACACACAGTCATACACAGATGTAACGGTTCAAAAATTATTTTTTTCATCTTGGCACCAAGTGATTAGCATATGCCCCAAGGAAATCAGTATTTGTTTTCTGTAACATCCTCGTTATCTAGAATCTAGAAAAGATATCAAAACAAGTAAAGTTTGGCATTACACTCTCCTAGAAACAACAGGCTTGAATATTCAGGGATTACAAATTTCTTCTAAAGAATTCAAGAAAATCAATTAATAATCATTCCTCCAAAATAGAGAACACATCAGTCTTATTCTGGAACCCACCCGTCCCCATAATTTCCCAAAGGCTATCTGCAACTTTTCCAGATACAAATTTTTGTAGAGCCAGCCCAGAAATTTATTTAAACCAACTAGATATCTTTACCTTAGATGTCCATTTTGTCTATTTATGTTTTCCTACTTCAGTCATTATGATTCCAAAAGGTACCAGAAAACATGAAATAAAGGAAATTGGCTACTCTTTTTATCTTCTGTGGTTATAACTACAAATTAGCAATATTACAAAATGCTGAGTCCAGCTTTACCTAGTTTTAAAAACAGCTTAAAAAGTAATTTGAGAGAAACATTTAAAAACAAGCCAGACCGGTAGGTAAATTAAATGTGCTATGCCACTGTAGGCAACAGGCCAATTCTGAAATATTTGATAATGAAAGTGTTCTGGCCAACAAACATATTTTTAAAAGGGCACTTTGGCTTAAAACATTTACCTCTATGAACACGGCCAATTATAATTGAAACTCCTTCTGTCCTTCAAAATCTCACAATTTCATTTTAGGTTCTACTCCTTAAAAAAGTCTTGGCAAACGGTGTACACTTTCAGATCAAAAGAACATCTCGTTAGTAAACTAGAAAAATGTATTTCGGTTCCTTGGTCACTTGGTTTAGGTCCTGTAACAACAAGAAATTAGGGTGTGAAGTATGTATAGCATACTGGGCTGCACGTGTTTAGAAGATGAGAGAGTTGAATCAGATAAACTTGCTGAACCAATAGAACCAGCTTATGAGAACACAGAAGCTTCCTACTTGCCCAGAGTAGAATCAAATAATGGTTTTCCCTAGCAGTAATGTTGTATTTTTTTAAAAAGTCCACTGGATGCTCTTCAGAACATAAAATGAAGATGTCATTTCTCTTGTATCAAATGTCCTTTAAGGAAGAAATGACTATAGTTGTAAAACCATGATATTAAAGATGAGTAAGTTAAAGCATGTTGTAATACTACATTTCTAATTTGTTGATTTGGACATTGCATCTGAGGTATTTCTGAAAAATGATAGTTTCCAGATTCTAAACCAAAAAAATCCATGTTACAGGAAAGATAGGGTCTAACAAAAACTACATTTGGAAACATGAACTGGGGGGGTAAAGGTTGGGAAGTAGATTAGAGTTTTTGGGGGGCTTTTTTTTTTACCATGTACATCAGTAAACATAAGGGGACCAATCACATTAGGTTCTATCCAATAGTCACCTTGTGGGAATTCAACTCTAGGATTGCCAGCTTATTATTCAAGGTAAACCAGAATTCTGAATTTTATGTGAAATTCCCCAATTTTTAAATGTTAACAATGACTTTTTAAAGCACTGTGTGGGCTGTATTCCTATTTGGCTGTACGCTGAACAGGGCACCTGGCCAAGATGTGGGAAAGGGGTAGTGATGAAATTTGGGACTTTTCAACAAGGAAAAAGGCTGGGCTTGCATTGATGGGGCAGGGGAAAGAGGTTTCCTAATTCTCACAAAAGTACTTAAGCTGACAGTAGTGCCCCTACTTCTTTGCAGTCTCTGGATTAGATGACAGAATGAGAGCATTAAAGCTGGAGATAATTTATGTGCCACAGATCTAGAAGGATGGTCTTTTCCTAACAACCCAAGTTACTCATCTGCTAGGCCTTTTTCTTCTTCCAGCAATAGCAATGGATTAGTCTTCCTGTTTTCAGTGATATACCTGTGACACTGTCTTGAATTACGCTACGCACCTGTGTTACTGTTCATAGTAAAAGATACATTATATGTGTTCATATATATCCAGCTGAATCCTAACAACTTATGACCAATTAACAGCTACTGCAAAAAGCTATTCATTATTGAACTTACATAAAGTTCTGAAATAAGTTCTTCCAAGATTTTGGAGAAGTTATTTATAGAAGTGGGTTGGGCAGGGTTATGTGTGTGTGTTATCTGTGTTTAAATTGATGGCCAAGTGTCTCCTTCTATGTGGAAGAAAATTTCTGTAATACTGCTCTTCCCAGAACTCTCCTTAGTCTAAAGCAAGCACACAGAGGGCAGTGTGGTATGATACAGGATGTACCAGGCTGGGAATAAGGAAACCTGGTTTCCAATAAAGTCCTGCTACTAGCTAGCTATGTACATGTTTTCTAAGGTTTTTTTCCTTCTTCTTAAAATTGCTCCAAATAAAATTCATGCTTATAAAAATAGCCATTGATGTAAAGACCAGATTAAGACTTTTAAAAAACTGATAAAACATTTAAGTACAAAATTCCACAGTTCCCAGTGAGGTTTTCATCCCATAATAACAAGAGCACACAATAGATATTATTGGCTCATCATCTCCCTGGCATTTGCAGGCCACCTGGTGCAAATCCACCTGGTCTTGAGAAACTATAGGACTTGAAAGAAGAAAAATGTGGCAACAGAAAAAGAAAAGATGAATGATGATACCTTTTATATCTGTGTGGAATAGGTTTTCTCTTGTCTGCTTTGACAAATGGGAAGAGTTATACAGCCTGCTCTGCCTGCCTCACCTACTGGATGCTGTTCAAGCTCTGTTTTGTTGAACAATCAGATGCCCAACTCTGATGAGCTGAAGATGAGTAAACGCAGTGCTTGTTAACATGGTCATAGGGGCTATCTGGGAACTCTCTAGTTATTATAAATCTAACTGTGGCACAGAAATGTGCAATCTACTTCCACTGTTACTCCATTCCTAGCTGCTTTCTCAAAATGCTTAACATAAGCTCAGCAGAGTTTGCTATAAATAGTTCGTGACTGTGATACAAAGTATTAATTGATTTTAAAAAAAAAAAAAAGACTGGGGGAAAATGGAGAAAAAGAAAGCATTGTCAAATGTTTGAAATTAAATAAAAAGTTGTTTACTACCTAGTCATATTTATAACCACTTTAAAACTATTCTCAACTTCAAGTGATTTTATAGCAAAAAAGGTATGTATACATGACTTTTATTTCCATTACACTTGCCCACTAATAATCTTAATAAAAAAGGGAGACTGACAAAGATAATGAAATATGAACTGAAAAGCTTTTAAAAGCAGATGTGATGAAAATGAAATATTGTACATCGATGTCTTAATTATATTTGCAGACTCCTGTTACTTAGTGGGAAAAGCCAGGGCTGCCACCCAGTGGCAATGTAAGTCTTTAAATGATTTTAAGAATTAAAGAATAAAAAATATTTAAAATAATTTTAAAAACACAAAACCAGAAACCTCATGTATTGGACAACTTCAATTTTAACATCAGTAATTTTGTTGTATGAAATGCTTATCTAGAACATACTGAAGAACAGAAACATTTATTTGCTTAGGCAGCACTGGGGAGTTTTTGAAAATATCGTATGATTTCCTAGTAAGTTATATGGCTTTAGTAAGCATTTTAATTAAAATACTGAAGGTTACTTTGCTTAAATTTAAATTCCAGAATTAATAATGCGGGGTTGGGGAGCTAAGACCACAAAATACAGCTGTTTTCTTTCTTCTGTGACCTGCAGAAGTAGATTCAATACTCCAGAGTAGTCTCCCAAAACTTCTGCTTGTTAGTAAACAAAAACCTAATAGAAACCCCTGCAAAAGTAAGATTTTAAAAATAACTTTCTCTAACCATTTGGCACATTCCATTTTTTCCTCAGGTATAATCAATTTTAGTATCTCAGTCGACAAAACTCAAAGCTAAAAGGAGGAAATGAAAATAGTAGAAATACCATGCCTGGTAATTACTGATGTTCAGAGGTGGGAAGAAACCAAGTAACTCACTGCCTCCTATTTTCCCAACATTTGGCCACAGCTTTTTTTCACACTGACATAGATATCAACATACCCCAAAACAAGATGCCTTGGTAAAATAACAACAGAGAAAGAATAATATAACACTAAAGCATCCACTTAGAGTTTGAAAAGCTAAATATCTCAGACACTGTTTTATTCTCCTGAATAACCAGTTAAGAAAGAAGCATCCCCTCAAAAAATCTTAGATATTCAGAGATTTTTGTTTCCAATAGCTGTAAATTAAAAGTATACAAGACATATTTTCTAACCTATATCCCATTTGTTTTGCTTTACAATGAAGACAATAATTTTTTTAAAATGGGAGACACAACATACTTGATATTTACAATGGCTTACAACAAATACCTGAAAATAATTTCTAATTTTCCATTTATTATTGCTATTTAGTCACAGAAAAGATCAACATTCTCCATGAAATTTATTTTAGCATATGCCATATAATGATATAATAATTTTACATGAAGAGAAACCACTGCGGAAATGACTAACATGGTCCCTTACAGGGAAATAAAGGAAAAAAAAAAAAACCAATAAATTCTTCCATATAAAGACTTCTGATCTGCATCATTTTCTCAAAATATAAAACCTTAATATTAGAAGCAAAAAGAAAAACAGCAAAGAAAACAATAAAAATGAAGACCAAGGATAAGGAATTGCTTTGTGCAGATGCTTTGCATATGTAGTATATATGTATGGGCTGAGTTATAATAAAAATACTTATGTATTACAGTCATTCTCATGTAGAGTTAGAAAGCAATTTCCAATCAAGCATGACTGGACTGACATTTTCTCAGTCTTCAATTACGTGACGAATTATAGCCGTGTAGCAGTCACTTCTGGTCAGTATTATCATGACAAATGCTTGATAAGATACAGTTTTTCTCCTTGTTCACTTGTAAAAATTGGTGCCTTTTTGTAATGTTCTACAAGTTCTTCCATGGTGCTGAATTTACGCTGCCCAATACAGTAGACAGTCTCTTTTAGTTGAACTTTAAAATGCTTGTTTTTCCCTTGTGCTTTTAGTGATACAGAGAAATCATTTGGCTAAAAGAAAAAAACAGGTAGGGTAAACATTATGAAAGACATCTATTACCATTTTTATATTAAACTAATAATAGCTAAAATCTGAGCACTTACTAAGGCTCTAATTAAATTATTTACATAGATTATCTCCTTTACAACTTCTAACAAACCTATTTTAGAGATGACAAAATTGAGGCCAAGAGAAACTAAAAATCATCCATCTAGTTAATAAGAGAGCAGGATTCAAACTCAAGCAGACTCCAAAGTCTCTTAAATAATATGCTCTAACACCCACCAGCAAATCCTTTAGTTTAACATCTGGGACACAAGAGCTAGCTTTTCTCCTATCAGACTATTGGAGCAACACATGAGAAAACGTGGGCTAATAGTAGCTATCCTACAGACTGAGATAATGCTCTGAATTCTCAGACAGTAAGACACTAATGAGAAATCATAAACTCAAATGCCTACAAGGGGAAAAAGACATGTAAACAAGTCAGAGTGGACAGACAAGGAGGAACCACAGTCCATGGCCAATCCAAAGGCCAATCCACTTAGCTGTGATTGCTGCTTTATAGGAATATAGGCAATGTTGGCAGTCCCTCCAATTTCAAAAGGAAGTCTGTCATCTGAATTTTTATAATAAATCTCAATATTTAAATACAAATTCAAATGTTTAAAAATATTGCTCAGGTCAAAGAAAATATGCCTGTTTGAGACCTTTACTTTAAAAATTCTACTGGTAAAATGGTGTATTTTGGCTAATATCCATGCTCAATTACCCACCACAAGAAAATACATAGTATTCTGCAATCAAGCTACTTTCTGAGTTTTTTTGTTTGTTTGGTTTTTTTAACCTAACACTTTCCTGAACAGTCTAAAAGCCTCCATTTATATAGTTACTGCCAAAGTTTCAAACAGTGGGCTTCCTGGAAATACCCTATTCGTATGGTTACTCTTACTACCTGCTCTAGGGTCACTCCCTTCCTAACCCCTATTACCCACTGCTTGTCCTAGAAAGCAGGACCAGGTCAGGCATCTAACAGAAAACAAATCCCACCACTCTTCCCTATCATCAATCCTGCTCTTCCTGAGGGGTTACATTTCCTGAACTTTATATCAAGCAGTTCAATTAGCCTTGATTTCTCCCTCTTCTTTCCTCCCTCCCTCTTAAATATAGACACATCATATGAGTGTGCACACACTCACACCAGACAGGTTTTCTTCTGACTTTCAGTCTTTTGCACGATCACACCTTCACCTCTGTACAACCAGATACACAGAAACAAAGCCAATACTAATGATTTGAAAAGTGGAAAAGTAGTGGTATCCTTTTAAAAGGAAAAATAAAGACCATTTTAAACGGAAATAAGTATCATCAAATTTCTAATACCCTAACCAAGAGCCCATATAGCTATTTTCTTTCAATTTTTGTGGTTTTATAGTTTTACTGTTTTACTAGTGCTAGAATAAAAATGTCTTTTATTGCAAATGCATTTCAAATACATTGAGTATTAAAATAGGTTTTTCAGGTAAATAATAAGTGTATTCCAACTTCCAAACAACCAATTTATGAAGAAACTTAAATCTCAATTGTTTTAATTTATGGATTTTCTTTACTAGAAGGATGACAGTGCATCCAATATGCAATTTAAGACATGTTTTCCCAGTTTAGTCTACTGCATTGCTTTACTCTGAATGAAGAATCCAGGGTTCAACTTTCTCCATTTTTCAGTTTAATGCGACAGAAGGTATTTCAGAAATGCAAGACCAACAGACTTAAGTAAGGCCGAATAATCCGGTGAGGTATCACTGCTGGGGTATATTTTATTCAAAATAAGGTTGGAAACAACACTGACTTTAGCTTTGGAACATGTTAAGTTTATGTCCCAACTTACTGCCTGGTTAATTTTAGGGAAGCAACTGAACCTCTCCAATTTTCTATTTATTTTTTACTACTCAGAGCTCTATTTCCATTTACCTTTGAAAACCAACTTACCGAAGATTCACTATCACGAATGAGGAAATCACCTTCATGCCCTCTTTCATTTAATGCCATTTCTGCTTGATGCCTGGTGACCTTCCCATAATACCATGGATTGCCAGCAAATTTTCCAGTGAGTGAAGGCCTAATGTAATCACATTGCGGAGGTGATGGTTCCAAACCTGAGGTTAATGGATTATTCTGCATAATGGTAACATAGTTTTTTGGCACCAGACCAACCATTCCATTGATCTTCCTGCATTTCCACCATTCAGGGTCATTTTCAGGTTTTTCAATAACATCCATTACATCTCCTTTCTCAAAATTAAGTTCTTCATCATTGGACGAACTGAATGGGTAAAGAGCCTGTACCACATGCAACACTTGCCCAGTATTTAGGTTATTGACAACTGCTGCTAATTTCTCTGACAGGGAACCCACATGGTCACCCAAAGGACTGTCGCCTTCCTCAGTTACATAGTTTGAAGGGAACCATCCAACTTGTCCATTGTAGCTACCCCGCCACCACCCATCACTGCATTTCTCCATGACAATAACCTTTGTCCCTTTTATCAATGATAATTCATCTTCTCTCTCTGCCATGTAGTTAAATTTCACATAAGCAGGCATATTGAGGTCATAGAGGCGTTCCCCTGGGTCAACAAAGCTTTCATCAGCAGGAGATGCAGAATCTGGCACACTAGGTTTTCTTTTCACTTTTCCAATGCCTGTTGATATAAAAAAGAGTAATAAGAGATTATAAGACAATGATAACCGAAAAACCCAATTCATTCATTATTAAAAAATATCCTCAACTCTGTAGTTCTTTTAAGCCTTTAAAGTTAGATAACAAATTTCTTTCTTCTTTTTTTCCCCTTTCTTTTTACATCTCCATGACTTGTTCATAACTGGAGGTTTGTACCTTTTGACTTCCTTCATAAATTCTCTTTTCATAACCAAACATGTAAATGCAGTTATTGTATGACAGTTTACCTTCTCATCTTTTCTCTCACCAAAGGTGCTGAAATAATTGTGTAACATAATGACAGTTTTCCTAAATTAACAAGAATTCTTCCAAATGTAAATATAGATTATTTCTCTCACATCTACAACATAAGTAATGAAGGCTCCACCAAACCCATATTATTGTTTTATTTTATTAACCTTGATTCTACAATTAGCTGTACTGAAATAGAACAACAAATTACAACTTGATATGCAATAAAAAATTGTAGTTATGTCTGGGTACTCCTTCCATTTGCTTTCTTAGTTCCCAGATCCATGTTTCCCTATTTACCTCATTATGTTTATTTTAAAATAATATATTATTTACTTGTTTGTTTCCCTCACACTATTCACAAGTATGCTCCTCAAGGACAGGATTTTTTTTTTTTTTTTACTTTGTTCACAAATATCACACCAAGAATCTTAGAAAATGTTTAGTACATGGTAGATGCCTAATATATATTTGTTGAAAGAAGTGGGAAAAGCACCAAAGAATATTATCACCCTAAATATATGCTACATCAACTTTGGTCATGCATTTTCACTGCTGAGCATTTCTTACACATAATTTTGTGTTGTGTTTTTACTGACAGAACTGAGGCATTAAAAAAGTTTCTCAAACCTTCTGTCTTAGAACTCTTTATTACCCTCTTTTTCTTCATGCAAGTTTTCAACCTCCGATCCTTCTGGGTTCTTAAATACCATTGTTCCTACTGCTTTTGGGACTCTTGACCATCCTTGCTTTCCTCCTTCTTATTCCCTTCTACTGTCTAAAATCAAACTCAGACCACTTGTATTCCAAAATAAAGTTACTTCAACTCTGCTACTCCTCTTGAACTACACCATTCTTTAAAGAGGTGTCTCCCTGGGGTGCCCAGATAGTGCAGTTAGATGTAGCCACTACTTCGCTCCAGGGTCATACTGCTTATTCAGATTCTTCTGAAGTTAATGAAGCTTCAGATTTAGTTCTGAAAGCTCAGATTTAGAAATTTTCCTTCTTCTCTTCTCTTCTGTTCTCAGTTCGTTGCTCGACTCTGGCTCCCTCTCTCAAAAAAGAAAGAAACATTTAAAAAAATTGTTAAAAAGGTGTTTTTTCCTTCAACTTAAAAAAAACTTTTTTAATGTTTATTTTTGAGACAGAGACAGAACACAAGCAGGGGAAGGGCAGAGAGAGGCAGGGAGACACAGAATCCAAAGCAGGCTCCAGACTTTGAGCTGTCAGCACAGGACTGACACGGGGCTTGATCCCAGGAACCATGAGATCATGACCTGAGCTGAAGTCGGATGCTTAACTGACTGAGCCACCCAGGTGCCCCTCCTTCAACTTCTTTACCACTCAAGCACTCATTCCCTAACTCCTTATGATCTGGTCCTTTAATCTTTACCATTCTACAAAATCCACTCATTAAACCATTCTTAGAAAAACTGTGTCATTTCTTTACTGCCAAATCAGTACCTTTTAGAGTCCTCATTCTTTTCAAACTCTTTATGTGGCAACCAAGATCACAGATTACTCTCTCTACTGTTGTCTCTTTTAACTTCCCTAAAAGCCTCCTGCATTCCCTAGTGACTAAATATTCTTGTGTGCATCTGTCTGGGCTCCTCTAAACCTTGTTATAAAATTGCATCATACTTGTTTCTTGAAGACAGAAAACTAGAAAACTAGATCTTAGTACCTTTGTATCTCCAGTGCCCACACTAGTAATAGGAACAAAGTGAATGTTTGCTGAATGAAAAAGTGAATGATTCCTTATAGTTGAAAAGTGTTTCCCAAGATACAGTGCCTGGACTTCCACTCTACTTCAAAGAAATCTTATACTTTCATCTTCCATAACTTCTATATAGAAAGCTCCAAGGTCTCTTTGCAGTTTTAAGCTCTTTCTGGAATTCAAGCACTACAATTCAGACATTGCTATACATCTACCAGATTGTACTCTTAGCACCTCAAGTACAACACTCTTTTCCAAATGAAACTAGCCTCTCCCATAACCATAAATCAACTCCCTCCCTCCCAACTTCCTTACTTGTGGTATTCATGATATCATCCTGAAAAATCCTCACATCAGAGATTTCTGACAGAATAGGGAATTAATTCTAGGGCTCCATCCATCCAAAAAACTAATTAATGAGCTGGCAGATACTGTCAGAATAAACTTTTGCAGCACTCTGGAATCTAGTACAAAAAAAAACTTAGAAAAACCTTACAAAAACTAGGGCAAGGCGTAGTGAAAAAAGCTGCTGCTCTGAAGTAAGAGAATGCTGTGGCATTTCAAATTGCCTGCCCACAATGGCTTTGAGGACAGCAACTGGCACTTCTAATGCCAGAGGGAGCTTATTCTCAAAGAATTGTGATTGTAAGTTTCAACCTGTCTGGCAGCCACGTGAAGGACTGGCACAATGGCTTGCCTTGGTTTCACTGGACCTGGAACATTCCCATTCTTTTACTGAAATCATTTAATTGATGCAGCACGTTGGGGTAAGGGACAACGACCAGGATAAGGAACAGACAGACTGAAGGAAGGAAAAGACAGAACAGCACCTTCAGAGGCCACACACGACAAAGAATACAGAGTTTACAAAAACAGTTTAGGGAAGTCACTAAACAAGCAAACAACAATGCACAATTAGAAGCAACATCAAACCTTAGGAAGGGGGTAGAATCTGATACTAGAAAACTGTCAACCAAGAATTCTATAATTAGCAAAACTGCCCTTTAGAAATGAAGGAGAAATTAAGACACTCCTACATAAACAAAAATTGAAGGAGTTTGTTACACTAGACTTGTGCTACAAGAAATGTTAAATAAAGTCCTCCAGGCTAAAATGAAAAGACACTGAAAAGTAACCTGAAGCCATATGAGGAAATAAAGAACAACAGTAAAGGTAGCTCCATTCATAAATATAAAAGCCAGTAGTATTAGACTTTTGGCTTGTACATCCTTTTTTCCTATATGATTTAAGATACAAATGTAGAAAATAGTAATTTCAAATCTAGGTAAATGGGCACCCAATGTATAAAAATGGAACTACAAAGGAATAGTTTTGCATACCAGCTAAATTTCCATTAATTCAAACTTGACTGCTAAAAAGTTAAGATGTTAATGGTAATCCTCATGGTAATCACTAAGGAAATACTAAAACATATATAGAAAAGAAATGAGAAGGGAAAATGGTACATGAGAAAAAAAATCAATTACAAAACAAGACAGTAATACAGGAAATGAGGAGAGAAAAGGCTTAAGACCTGTAGAAAATAAAGAGCAAAACAGCAGAAGGCCTTCCTTATGGGTAATTAAACATAAATGAATTAAAATACTGGATTAAAGGGACAGACACTGGCAGAATGGATTTAAAAATAAGATCCAACTCTATGCTATCTATAAGCACTCACTTTAGATCCAGAGATACAGACAGGTTGGAAAATGAAAGGATGGAAAAAGATGGTCCATGACAATGGTAACCAAAAGAGAGCTGGGGTGGCATAGCTGTCTGTTAGTATCAGACAACACAGACTTCAAGACAAAAGTTGTTACAGAAGATGAAGACAAACATTATATATTGATAAAAGGGTCAATCCATCAAGAAAACATAGTAATTACAAATATTATACACGCCTAACAAGAGAACCCCAAGACATATAAAGCAAAAAATGACAGAATTAAAGAAAGAAACTGACAGTTCTACAATATAGAGACTTTTTAAAAAGCACAAGAATGCAAAATCATGGCACTAAACCGACTGCATAAAGGACACTTATTTACAATATGAGAGCTGAAACAAAAAAGGCAGAGCATCACCTTGTTCAAACTCAGCTGACAACATGTGCATCAGGCAACTCAAAATTTCTGCCACTCTGCACAAGTCCACAAAGGCATCACAAAAGCTTATAAATAAGTTTTAACAAGGAGCCCAATTCACAAATATGGAATTTGCAAAAACAGGGTTAATCTATACTAGCAAACAATATAGCAGCATATTAACAGAAGTGTACATCATGATAAAGGGTGATTTGTCCCAGGAATGTAAGAGTAGTTCAACATATGAAAATCAACATTATATACTACATTAATACAACAGAGGGAAAAAACCCACATGATCATCTCAACTGATACAGAAAAAGCAATGGATAAAATCTAACATCCTTTCACGATAAAGAGTATCAGCAAACTAGGAATATAAGGCAATTTCCTCAACATCATAAAGGGCATCTATTTAAAAAAACCTACAGTTAACAACACACTCAATGGTAAAAGACTGAAAGCTAAGATCAAGAACAAGACATAGATGCCCTTTCACCCACCTCTATTCAACACTGTACTAGAAGTGCTAGCCAGGGCAATTAAGCAAGAGAATGAAATAAAAGACATCCAAACCAGAAAGGAAGAAGTAAAATCATCTTTATTTGCAGATGACATAACCATATACAGAGAATATCCTAAAAAAATCCACACACAAAAAATGTTACATTAAACAAATTTAGCAGAGTTGCAAGATACAAAATCAACACACAAAAACCAGTTGTATTTCTGTACAGCAGCAGTGAACAATCTGAAGAGGAAATTAAGGAAACAATTCCATTTATAATAGCATTAAGAATAAAATACATAGGTTAAATTTATTAATCAAGGAGATACAAGACCAGTATACTGAACACTACAAAGTACTGCTGAAAGAAATTAAAGTAGACTAAATAAATGGTAAGACATTCTGTATTATGGACTTGA